TCAACTACTTATGCATTTAAGTCCATGATAATATTAAAAAAGTACAATATCTATAAAATGATGGCTATAAAAAAAATATTATATATACAAGAGAGTTCATCATCATTGATGTAGTTTCATACTATAAGAAGAAGTGACATAAAAAACAAGGCATATTTTGGGCCAAGTTTATAAGATCTTATTGCATTATTGCCATAGATGAAAAAAATAATGATTTCAACTTTAGCCAATTCAATTTAAACTTGCCCTAATATTCTTTTTAGTTCCATAATAAGATTTAGTCTAATGCAACTTACACATTATTCTCACCAATATCAATTTAGTTAATTGCAATGCTCAATACATGCAAAGTAGTTCAAGGATCAACATTGTTATAGCATAGTTTCTTTAAAGAGAGGAAAGAGGAGGAGGAAGGAGAGGGAGAGATCCTTTTATAAGTATAGACATAAGAAATGGACTTAACACAAATCTTCTATTGTCCAATGAGATGATAGTCAAGCCATACTTATAGGACTGATAAAAATATTATTTTTTATTTTAATATAAAAGATTATTTAACACAATAATCTTAAAAAATATTGAGGCATATATTGTTTGTACTAGACTACATATTCCATGTATTTATAGATGATTTTCATCTAAGTATTTTATCTATTCCATAATCAAATTCATTATATTCCATGAACTCATATCGACTTCTAGTGGGACTCAAATTCTTTGCATATAGTCAAGTCAAGTATCATTGGTCTCCTCTAATTAGTTGAGATAAAAATCATAAGTGGCTAAATCTTCCTTCTAGATGGAGCATCCATTCCAAAGAAATTCTCAAGGAATGCAAAAGAATTATTTAAAATTAATAATTATATTCTTCAAAAGTTTGTTGATGATTTAATCATGGATTTGCTCTTATTTTTTATGATCATAATTATACATTACTAGAAATATATATTATAATAATAATTCTTGAATTTAAAGAATTCAAAAATCATCTACAATTATTGTTGGTAATAAGGTTGATTGTACATATTTGTAAAATAAAACTATCAAAATAAATATAAATATTATTAGTAAAGTATTTATTTAGTTATTTATATTATATTTTCAAAAAAATAATTGATCATTCTATGTGTAAAAAAAAACATAGTAATGTTGAAAATAAAAATAAATATTATACATGTGAGATATCAAGATATAGTTTGTTATATACTTATTATTAATAAATGATTAGTAGCTTATCAAACAAAATATATATTTGATACAAATTAGATATATGTCTAAAATAAGCTATTTCTTCTTAAGTATTACAACATGCAATATAAATTGAGCTATAATATGTAAAATAATTTATTATAGGATTTATTTGGTTTTTTATTTTACTTTTATTTAATGTCCAAATAGTTATTTGTCTTTAAATATATAATTTTTTTTAAAATATTTTTTCTTATATTATTTTTTTAAATCAATATATATGATTCTTATTTGAAATTGATTGTAATCAAAATAATTTCTTTTATGCTTGATGTATTTTTTTCATTGAATTTTAGATTTCTATTCAAAAGCGATTTATTTTTAATAGTATTGATTCTACAAAAATTTGAAATATTAGATTTAAAAAAAATTAACTTGGTAAAATTATTTTTAATAAATTTTTAAATTTTATAGCATAATTTGATAGTTGTCATTGGAGCCAATTGAATCAATTTTCAGTTTTGAAGTTTTTGTATTAAAAATAAAATAATATTTAAAACATAAATAAGAAATAATAAATTAAAAATATTCTAAAACTTTAGTTTTAAAATTCAAAATTATATTTAATATTAAATTTAAAATTATACAAGTGATTTGAAATTAAAGAAAAATATTAAATTATTTTTTAACTTTAAAAGTATTTGTGTGCATTTTAATGATTATTTTTACTTGATAAGTATTTTATATGTATACATATAAATAGTTATATATAGAAATTGAAATATTTTATTATGATGAAATTCTAATCTATTTTCAATTTTAAATCTTTTAAATATAACTACACTCAAATAAATATATTAAAAATATTTTAATTTATTAATATTTATGAAATAATCAAAATCTGAATATTAAATAATTTTTTCATGATATATTAGATTTAATTACTAAAGAATCATATTTCTTACTAAAGTCTTGATGATATAATATTATTTTTGTGCTAAAATCTTACAAAAAACTTCATTTTAAATCTAAGCTTTGATATAATTTTATAAATGTTCTTAATAACTTATTTTATGTAATAATATTATTGATACGTTTTTATTGAAATTTGTAGAAATATGTATTCTTTGCAATAGTCACATTATTCTTTATACTTTTTTGTATAGTATATATAGCCACCTTGGTTTTTACTATTATTCTTCTTACAAAATTGTAATAGTCTTTGTATTGCTTGTCTTTGACATTTATTATATATTTGATGCATTAATATTTAAGTTAATTAGTCTTTGTGTATTCTTATATGGTTTTTGTACTAGTTCTACATTTATTAATTTGAATATTTTTAATATGTAAAAACTGTATTATTCCTTTGTTTCCTTTTACTATAGTTATTATTGACTTTGATTCTTTTTTTTCTTTTTTTTCTTTTTATTTTCTAATGAGATGGTATATAAACATTAATAATATAAAATATCGTTTCATTTCAAAAACTTTAATAAATTACATTCATGTATATTATTCAGCTAAAATTACAAATCTCAAAAACTTATAAAAGATTTTAATAGAATATTATCAATGTAAGTAAATATAGTTTTATTATATATAAATCTTATTTATTTTCTTTTATGTATCCTTAAAATTTTATTAAAATACAAACTATGAAAATATTTTTATATATTTATAAATAAAATAAATTATATATATACATATATATACTTCAAAAAAATCATGACATTAGCAATACATTTTTAAATTTTAAAAAAACTATTAATTATACTATTTATTCTGTTTTTGAAGTTAAAATATGAAATTTGAAATTATATTTATTATTAAATGATATATAGATATATAATTTAATTTAAACTTAATTTTTTTAATTATAAGGATTCCTTTTGATTTAACAATATTTGATATTTTCTATTATATAGTAATAAGAGTTGATAAGTAGGATAATATCATAGCAAATAGCATAGATATATACTATACAAAAAGATAAGAAGATACATATATATATATATATATATATATATATACTTGAATATAAAATCTTCAAGAATATTAAATGTATTTAAAAAAATTATTTGCATGTATCATATTGTTTTACAATAAATAACATAAGAGCACAACAAGAATAAACTAAGTAAAAATCATGTTTTTAATTTAAAGTTTTGTATTGAAAATATATAATCTTTTATATTTAATTAATTTTAGTAATTCAAAATTATTCTTTAAAAAATTTAGAAACTTAATTATTATTCATGTGCACTTGTTTTTCTATTACATAAAAAAAAATATGTAGAATTTTACATACTAATAGAAACTCACAATATTTTTTTTTAATAAAATTTGTTATATATAACATAATATTTTATTGTTTTTTTATATGATATAAGATGTATGTTACTATTAAGAGTGTTGACCAATATTTTTTAAAAAATTTAAAATATTATAATGTATAATTATGTTTTTTTTTTTTTTTTTTCCTTTTACTTTAAAAAGTTGATTTTTTGCACTAGTACTGTAGTTGATAACTTTCTACGATGAACACAAAATAATTAAGACAAGAAATATAGTATCAAATCCTATTGTAATGCATTATGTAAAATACTTACACATGTACTATGTGAGTATTATGTATGTACTTTAGTGAATTTATAAGAAGACTTTACAGGAAAAAAAAAAATTAATTGTTACAAAATTTGATAAATAATGTTTCCACAAATTATGTGTATATAAAAGATTGATAAACAAATATATATATATATATATATATATACATATACATACACACACACACACATATATAAATCCAATTAAAATGTGGTTTACAATTACTTTTATACTATGTTTATTGGTTCAATCAATGTGCAATATTTAAAAAATTGTTCAAGAAGAAAATTATGTATCTTTTGGGATTTTATCTGATTGTTCTCAAAGTGCTGTATTAAACTATGGAATAATATATTGTAGTTTCTAATACAATAATTTGGACACAATGATTATATTCAGTTATGCTAAACTAAATAATTAGTTTAAACATATATAAATATAAATATATATAAAAAATATATATATATATATATATATATATATATATATGAAAAAAGAAGTAAAAAATATATATTTTAAAAATATATATCCAAAATACAAAATTGAAAATAATACAATGTCACTTCTAAAAATAATAAAAAAAAGAAAATAGTTTCCACAGTCTGATTCTTCACACGTTAGCGAAAGCCAAATGCCACATATGATATATCCCTTTTCACACAACTAGTTAACGATGAGCGAACGTGGCGGTGGGAATGGGACCCCAGATCTGGTCCAAACTGGAACCCCGCTCCCGCCTCCGCCCAGGAAGGGGGGGAGGCAATCCCGGAGCGGGAGAAAGAAAAACGACGACGCCGAAGCCGAAGAAGAAGTAGAAACCCGAAGAAGAAACCCGAACAGGATCATCGTGGTTGGGTGGGTGGGTGCCTCCATCGCTATGGCGATACCGCCGTTGTGCTCCGGAACTATATTAGCTCGAGTTTCATAAAACCCACTCACGTGGGTTGCTCATTTTGTATCCGGATCTCTCACTTTTTTTTTTTAATTTTTAATTTTTATTTTTTATTACTCTCTTCTGTTCGTGCCTCGTCCGACCTCTGATTGCACGTCGAGGTTTTTTTTGAGTGCGTAGCGGGGATTTGACGACGGTATTGGGTTTCGAGGAATTTGGGGGGTCAACGATGGAGTTGAATTGGGTCGGGTCGGGTCGGGAAGGTTTCGTTGGTGGTGGGGTATGAAGGGGTGTTGATGAAGAGGAGGAGGAGGAGGAGGAGGGGGAGGAGGAGGAGGCTCCGATCAGGGTTCTTGTTGTGATGTGCTTGCTTCTCCGAGAAGGAGCAGGTGGTAAGTGCATTGTGTTGGTGGAGGAAGAACAGTCAGGGGAGCCGTGTGTTTGGAACCCAGGGCGGCTGTGTCGCGTCGGACGGGGATTGGTGCAGTGGAGCTTGAGGTTGACGCTGGGCTTTCTATTCTGGTTCCATGTGGGTGGGGGGCAATTGAAGACGCCGGATTGTGTCGGGTTTGATGCACATGGAAAGGTTGCAGGTTCTGGGTGTTATCGGAGGTTTCGGAACCGCAGGTTTTGGGTTTTTCGAGCAACACGGGTGGTTGACAGGTCTCTGCACGCAGGATGGCGACTGGTGGCGGTGGGGACGATGACCCCACTAATGCAAATGTGGTTGCTACAGCTGAGCATGATTCAGGCGTGGCGAAGGGCAAGAGAAATTTAAATGCCGCTGCCAGTTTTTTCATACCTTTGTCCAAAAAGGCGAAACTTGCCCCCGTAGCGGACCTTGTGGTAGAAGTTAATAAGAATGCAAGCGTTGCAGGGGAAGAGAAGGACGACGATTTTCAGGTGCTTCCTAGCATTCACTGGTCGCCGAGTCCATCAATTTGTTTGATTTGGTGATGCTTTTCCGTACTGTATGTGTTTACATTGAACTCAAATGAAACATAGCCTAATATTGAATTTTGAGGTAGAACTGTCCAGTAATGGCTAAAGCGATAGACAGATAGGTGTAGGAGAATGTTCCTCGATAAGGTTGCGTCCCAATCTGCCGTTAACTTTCAAACCTCAGGAGCTACACATTTCAGTATGAGTTTAATACCATTACTTCGAGGTGAAGCTCAGTATTTTAAAGTTTTTATTATTTTAGAGGAGGATTTCAGTTGGCGGGGCGTCTGGGTTCTATGTTATTTTTCAATTCAATGCGTTCGTCTGTGTTCAATTGGGCTGGGTTCCACTCGAGCTTGAATTATATGTTGGCTAATTTGCGTATTGCCAAATCTATTCAGGAGCCCTCGGTGACGTCGGTCCTGGCGACAATATTTGACAAGAAACCATCTCGTAAGAAGGCAAATGTACGAAAAGATCAGAAAAAGGAGGTAGAAAATGTACCTTCATTGCAAGATGTTCAGACGGGAGGATCCCAACTTCAGTGCCCCCCCGGTATATTCGTTAGGCCTATAACTTGCGCGCATTTCATTTTGAAACTCTGTTAATACTAGGATTGATTTTCTCTATTTTTCTACTGGTAACTTTCTTGTACTCGCTCAACATCTCATATTTTCTTGGCTTTCGGTTCAATTAATGTCATTTAATGTCCGTTGGCTCGTTCTCAGAACATAAACAGGAAGTGGGGCAATCACCCTCCAAAAAATCATCGAAGACATCCACAGCAAAGAAGAAACGTAAACCTCAGCAGAGTGTTCTGGATACTAAGCCATCTGTGGGAGTTCATGGTGCTGACCTTTTTCTGCAAGCAAGGCTTGCGGCAGAGGTAAGCCATCCAAGTCTGCTTACGAATACTGTCACTTTAGTAATTATTCATAAAATCTTACTGACATTGCGATATTCAACCCACTAGCGGATTATTTTCGTAATATGCTTTCAAGTAGGGGTAAACTGATGTGTGATGACACATCAGCTTGTGGTGTCACTCTCCCTTAAACGTCGTATCATCGTGTTTTCTGTAGGAAAATACGAGGTTAAGTGCAGGCAAGGCAACACATCCTTTCTTTGCTCGTCCAAAGTCGGGTGGTGCACGGTCTTTGGGTACAGACGAGGCAATACATGCCACTAAAGGTCGGAGTCTTAATTCAGCTTCAGACTGTGCCGAGGTACGAATCCTGAATCTGCTGGGTATTTCTTTGTTCAGAACATGTCATTCTGTACTTACGTTGTGTTGGACTGCAAAGAAGCTATGTGCTGGTTCATTCTTGACGGATTTTGCTCAGATTATACGAGTTGTTTCATTGCTTAATCAGTTCTGTGTCTAATATCCACTGACAAGCCATCACCAATTTGGATCCTCAATAACAATTTCCACAAGTATGTTTCTCTTTTAGTTGAGTTCTGTATGTTATGCAAGCACGAAGGTTTTTGGTGAATGATGTACATGTCAAATTGCCAACGTGTGACGCCACTACATGTTTACTAATTTAAATAAAATTCCGATTAGCTGACCAGAACTGGAAGCAAGTAAATCAAAACCTTATTTTTATTTGATCAACTTCAGCCATCATCGTCTGTCTGCAGAAACCTCGTCGAATGAGCCCCCTTAAACCCCCTCACCCCTTTTTTGCTCGACAAAATTTGGGGGGTGCAAAAGCCATGACAGTTGATGAGCCTCTGCATAGCTTGGAAAGCGACAGTCTGCCTCCTTCTGCGCCCTTTCATATAACACAAAATATGGCGGTATGTTGTTAGATCGATGGACTCATGCTTTCATTTATGCTACGCTTGTGAAGCTGCTAGCGATGGTTGCTCGCATCAATCTCAGTTAGGAATCAGTTGGATTTGTAAGGTCTACCTGCACAAGAGGTGTTCGTTTACATTGGACTGTTGTGGGATGAGGATTTTAAGGAGGATGAGACAAAGCCGGTATGGAATTCAAACTGGACGTGGCGTGATATGCCTGCTAAAGCAGATCAGAAAATTGAGGGGGTCTATTCGTTCTTAGCCTCCCAGCCTTCATATTCATGGACTTGGCCGTCTTCAGAGAAGCGGAAAATGCAACCCCTTTCAAGAGTTGATGCTTTTAGGCGTGTTATCGACTACTTGACGGTACATGTCACACCAGCTCTTAGAAGATCTTTTTCACTATCCAAGGATGGAAATTGTAGACCACCTTCTCGTCTTCTTAGGATCTTGGGTCAAGATGTTTATATAATTGATCGAGGTCTTGTGCCAAGATATTAAGTGGATCATCATGAGTCGGCGTAGGCCATTCTAAGCTTCTAGGCGAACAATCTAATGCGAGCTGAATGAGACCTAAATTAAAAGGATTTCTGAAATTAACTCATTTTCAGGAATTGGCATACTTCAGTTCAAGAGGTTTTAGATAGCTAGAACTTGTGCTGAACAGGCTGGTACCCTGCTGTGACAGGGTAAAGATGCAGGTACACAGTTCTTGCTTGGTGAGGAGGTGGAATCTGTCGCTGCTGAAACCCATAAGCTGGTGCAAATGTGAGTTTCGTCGTAGCTTCCTTCTCATGTTTTCCTCAAACTCCGTTGTGCTAATATCCTGAACCGCTTCTGTTTACGCCACAGTTTTTGTTGAGGTCCTCTTCGCAGCTCATGTTAGAACTTTGCATCTAACATCAACTTTCCTAGTTCTTTCTGTGGACTTGATATTTGGGATTCCTTTTTGTTTTCGAGACTTAAGTGGATGAAACACTTGATTTTTTACAGGTTTTCCTCGTATTACTATCCCTATGTGCATAAAGACTTCCTTGAGCCAAATTCAGCACTACAAACTTCGACAGAGCGTCAATTGAAAGATGTTAATAGCAGTCGGAACGCATTGTGGACTGATCAATATCAGCCTCAAACATGTCAAGAGGTCATTAGTTTTTTGCCGCTATGTCAGTGTTTTGATTCCAATAACATCTAATTGATGAATCCTTCATATTGACAAGTTCTTTCCTGCTGCAGAATTTGTTTCTCTGTTGCAAGATGCAAGTAGTTCAACGGCTTCTCAGTTGGTCATTGAGTCTTCTAAGCATTTTACTATGTGGTTTGTAGGTTTGTGGAAATAAAGAGTGTGTTAAAACTCTAAGCATTTTACTATGTGCTTTGTAGGTTTGTGGAAATAAAGAGTGTGTTAAAACTCTAAGCTCCTGGCTTCAGAGCTGGGGAGAAAAGATTCTTCAACAAAAGGGTTCAGTGAAAAATAAAGAAGAAGAAGAAGGCAGCTTCATTGATGATGACAGTGATTTTGAAGACTCGCCTTCCGAAATCGATGACAATGACGATTTATATAATTGTCTCCTTGTCACGGGACCTGTTGGGGTAAGCTCATTCAAAGTTAATTTGTTCATTTAATTGCGAAAGTTGAGGGTTTTAAACTTTATTTTATTTTATTATGATCTGTTTAATCTGCATTACATTTTGTACCAGCGAGTCTCAAGTCCTTTTATTTCAGTGCATGTAAGGAGTCAGTTGGCCAGAGTAATCTTCAACGTTTACGGTTCTGCCATTCTCAACTTTTTCTACACAATCTTGTAACTCTCAGTCAGATGTATCTGACGGGGTGGATTGATACCTGTGATTGGTGTGGGTATTCAGTGTGGCAAATCTGCAGCAATTTATGCATGTGCCATGGAACACGGCTTTACAGTAATTGAGGTGTGTACTCAAAGTTGATTTTGGTGTCAGTTGCATAGACCACCACTTAGTTTCAAATAGCTTAATTAGTACACTGAATTCGGAGGTGTTAATGTTATGCTGATGTCACGGGTCAGGTGCATTCCATCGACAACGTCGTTACAGAAGTCGGTATTGTTTGTTTCTTGAAATTGCATTAGTTACAGTGGTGGGCATGTGTATGGGCAATTCTCCAGCATGGTGATACTCTGTGAACTGGATACGCTATTTTCATTCAGAATATATTTTAGTGAGCAGTTGAACTTCAAGGAATCTATTAATCCTTTTTTTTTTCTGGCTATTGCAGGTCAATGCTTCGGAATGTCGAAGTGGAGCATTAATAAAGCACAAATTCAGCCAGGCTATGGGATCTCATGGTCTAAGCAAGAGGTTTGCGAGATGTATACCCTGCTCAATATTGGTCACATATTCTTGGTTCTATACAATCTTTTGTGCTTCCTCAAGCATTTCTTTTTAGAATATTGTAGTAAGCGTACACTATACCAACGCATTCGTTCTTATTTTGAAGGCAATTATCTGCTGCAATGGACGCTTCTGATGAGCAGCTAGATGCATATCAAATGTTGAAACAAGGAGAGGGTTGTCGAAAGAGTATTTCTTTTTGCGGAGAACCTGAAAATCAGGTACCGCAATCACAGAGTGCCTATCGAAGCAATCTGCCTCCTCCTTCGTTGCGAGGATTAAGAGTCATTCTTTTCGAAGACGTGGACATAGTGTTTGAGGAAGACTCTGGATTCATGAACGCACTGACGCAGCTGTCTAAAACCTCCAAGTGCCCTATCATATTTAGCAGCAACAGTAATACTCCGATTCTGGAACACTTATCCACTATCCTTTCTTCTAATCTTTTCCGTCTAAAGTCCTCAAGACTTACATCTGTTGATTTGGAAACTTTGCTCACGTGCCTATGGTCCGGTCAAATACTCACATCTGAAGCTTGTGATCAGGTCAAAAGCCAGCACTGCCACAGGTTAGGGGGCTGCAAGTCATCAGATTTGAGCAACCATCAACGGCTGAATTAGTTGCACACGCATGCATGGTGAGAGGATTTTACCATTCTTGTTGGATTGACTGAGAAGTTTTGATGTGACACGAGTATTAAAGTATGTTCTGTTCGCGAGCGCAGGTTTGTATGGCGGAGGGAGTGTCGTGCAGCCCGGATATAGTCGAGCACATTGTGAAGACAAGCGATCATGACCTCCGCAAGCTCCTGATGCTTCTCCAATTCTGGACTCAGGGATCTCCTTCTGACTCCAAATACTGGAAAGATATTAGTGCTGTCGAGGGTTCATTGTCTGCGCAAACCAATAAGCAAAACCCAAATCTGGTTAATTGCTTGTTGCAGTTGGATGGTTGTCCTCGAGTTCCTGCCACGAGAATACACACGGCTGACAGGCTCCTTATTGATGAGGAACTTAATAACATTAAGCCCAAGAATAATTCGGAAATGGTTGGCATTTGTCAAGAACCTGACCCAAGGAATATCCGTGAAGGAATGTGTTTGGATTCCGACCGGCTCTTTGCTTATGATTGTCAACATCGTATACTCCCTCTACTCTTTCCTTGTACGGTATCGTGCCAGCTGACAACTATGGTTTCTAAACGTCTTGAAGATGCAAATCAGAAAGTCAGGGAAATGGTGGACTTCGAAGTCAATGTGTGGTCTCGCCATAGATTTGACGAGTTGAAGTCCATAGCGGACGCTCACTCCAGGGCTCGAAAGGCGTTGCAGAAACTTCAAGCTGCTGCCCGAAAAGATGAAAATGGAAAGTCATGCATCAAGCCTTCGAATGGTTTCTCCTTTATGAAGCTGATGCAGGGTTCATACGACAGCCCTGATGCCCAGACTGCTAGTAATGAATGCACCAAAGACACTTTGTGCCTACTGCAAGAACATCACCGCAGTAGTTCTGAGGAGCGGGAAGACGATTTGACACCCGCATGCTTGTCACATGATCAGGACAGGCCTGCGATGCATCCAGCTCGTGCGATCAGAAACTACGCTGGTTTTCAGTATGATGAACATCCGAAGCTACTACCCCCTTTAGATTCTGATACGCTGTGTACTGGAAGCCTGCCAGACGTTGAAGGATTACTTCGTGGACACGAGTGTATTCCTGGATTACACTTTAGTGTGACTCATCCAATCATGGCTGATTTGGGCGCTGATTCTGTCCAGCAAAGTGTAAATGTATCGGATGCCACAGCCTCTCAGTCTACTAATTTCGCCGTTCAGAGCATTGTTCCTTCAGGACTTCAAGAAGTCTCTGTGAACAGGCCAGTGGAAGAGAGTAAACCGGATTTAACAACAATTCCAATTGATAACCTTACAATTCATCATGATGTGGAAACTTCGACTTGTGCGGGTGAACATTCACATATCCCAGACCTACCCCTTGAGTGTAAAATTCTTAATTTAACAAGTGCCGTGATGGAGTATACATGGTCAGAATTAAGAAGTCTGCCGTTGAAAAAGCATTTCACTTTAGACATGGACAATGGTGCCAGTATTTTGTTGGACGACATTCTGGATGATCTCTCGTCATGTGATTTTCTTTCTAGCCGAACTACATCAGCATTTAAGGTATTTTCGTCTCTCTCTACCGATGAGTTATTTCTTGTAGACTTTTTAAAATAAGAGATGTACTATCTATTATTTCCTTTTCTTTTAAGGACTAAATAAAGTTGTCGCACTAAATCTCATATTGCACTTTAGGTTGTTGCTGTCGTCTCATATGTCACCTTACAACTCTGCTGCTTCGATATTTCCTTTTCTTCCTTGAGAGACGTGTCATTTACAAAGCGTGATCATGGACATGATGTGTTTTTAGAGGGTTTGTCGAGAGTCTTTCTAGTTTGCACAGAATTGATTAGATTGGAATCGTGTCTATTTTTTATTTTTTTTTATTGTGTTTGATACTTAGGGTCTGGTTTTGTGGCGCAGCATGTTGAGGTGTCTGTAGAGCAGCAAAGACCAGGGAACGATGCTTATAGGGGAGATAGCAGCGGTGATAGTTGTACAGAATCAGCTGCGGTGCTTGCACAGCTGCGGCTTAATCAAGCTTTGAACAAACTCTTACCTTCAAACGGTCCTTCTGCTGGAACTTGGGAAGTGAGACCATCTTTTTCTCAGCAAGAGATTGTTAGGTACCTCTAAATTCTCTACCTTCTACTACGATATGTCTTCTCTGACAGTTTATTCCGCTATTGGATTAAATTTATTGCTTTCATTCTGTGCTTGTACTGATCGATCTTTGATTCGTCACAAATGTCAGTGGCTATGATGTTAGAGTGAAAATGAATGTAAACAGTTAACGATTGCACTGACGGTTTTATCTATATCATAGGGAGGAGAAGCGACTCGGTCATGACGAGTGTGTAAATCAACTTCTGCCCCAGCGGTGTAGGAGCTTGGGAAGATTGGCCAGGCTGGATTACATTTCGTTTTATCCTCAGTTGACCCCCTCTACAGCTGGACCTGAAGTTAGAATGGAACGCGCATTGAGACATCGCAAGCTTACATGATTTTATGATTTTTTTTTATCATCCTTCAAGATTTTACATATTCTACTTGGTGTAATCTTCCAATCTCATTTAAGGACTGCACTCTGCAGTGAACATTTGCGAACACGTTGCTACGGAATCATGCAGATAACCAAGGAGAAAGAGGTCACTGAAGTGACTGTTGCGACTTGTATCATTTTTCTGCTTTGATGTCGATTTTTGGATTTTTGGTTTTTGTTTTTGGGTTTGAGTGTTCTTAAAAATACATGTGGAATTTTTGTCTTGTATTGGGATGATCAAGAATAGCTCTTGTTCCTCAATTATTCCAGTTCGTACTTATGGATTGAACACATTCTATGTGAGAATGATTTAAATGATTAGCCGAAGATTTCCCTAGAGATTTTTAGTGTAGTGTGTGGGCTTGGAAGCATCGATGGGGCCCAAGGAGACGCAAGGTTTATGGAACTGAGCCAGTTCCTAAACGTCATGTGAGAACTGTGTTGTCAACATAGAAATATTTGATTGGCATTCCAATTCGGTCAGATACTCCACGTGGTCCTGTCCTTGTTGAGGAATAGAAAACCTGATTTGTCGGTGCCTCTCCACTCTCCGGCACGACCATGTTTTTCTGACCTACATTTGTTGGCTTTGTTGGCTCATCATCAGCATAGAAGAGAGGGGGGTCAGGATTCCGGAAAGGAGACATTCCTCATGTACAAAGGTAACCACCTACGTCAAGACAAGTGTACAGTGTGCTTCGTGTGTTTCCACTCACAGCTGCACATTCATGAATAAAAACAATACTGTGTACATGCATATGTACATTTATGTAGGAGTTGATTGGAGGAAAGCATTTAATATCTATAAAAAAAAAAAAAAAAAAAAAAACCCTCCAATTCAGTGCTTGCGTGCACGGTTTGGTTTTGGGTTCCAGATAACTTGGTGTTCAAGCGTCTAAAAAGCAAGCAGAGTAGGGGACACGAGAAAAAGGCCGTCCTTGTAGTTCACAAAAGTTTTGGAATTTTTGCTTGACCATCCTTGAGTGTATCATATATCCTACAATTTTTCTTGTATTAAAAGATTTTTCTGCACCAGCTTACGTTGTGGTGTCTGTAGTGGACTGTCTCAGAGGGTCTCAATAGCATAGTGCCAGACCTGGTGATAGTATTAAGGTGCTTCATGGCATATCACTCTGTACAGCAAATCTGAAAGCAGTTAGAAGATGTCAATCTTGGAATTTGTAACCTTCGGATCATGTGTTTAATAGTGGCATATTCCTCAGGACCCCAAACCTAGAACATATGCTTTTTCAGTCCCACAGTGGGAGAGTTTGTGAGTGCACTCCAAGCTGAGGATCTCTTTATTTTGCATGATTTGTTGCTGTTTTCCAAGTTCTTGGATATAAATTTTGACTGGAATTAATTCTGGTGGAAGTAAACCAATGCATGAGAATAATAAGAAAAAAAAAAGAAGTGTAACAGCCTGTCTGATATGCTTTGCCCATACTACTTTTAGGTGCTTGTGTAGGGAACCTGCAAAAGCACTTTTTGTCTGTTTCAATGTATATGTTCTCTTGAGTTGAAGTTGAACCATACCATACAAGTTGAATCAAGAGTATATTTCTCAAAGCAGAAGGTTCAAATTTTTTACACAAAATAAAACTATACATACATATATATATATATATATATATACATACATACCATATGCTTCCAGTAAATCAACAGTGTTCTAAGGTAGAAAGCATTATGGTCTTTTACAGTGTATTGTCTCCCCTCACCAGTAGCCCCTTTAATTGTTCTCCAAATCATTTCACATGTCAACAACCTTGCAGCTTCAAGTGCAATTTTTTGGTGTATGTATGTTTGTAAAAATTAAAAATAATCTTTTGAGGTGAATAGAATTGAAATACTACTTCAAAATACTAACCAGAAAGCTGCCTTTACTCCATCAATATTTTTGTCATAGTTTTGGGGGACACAACACATGTGGGCTGCTGTTTCTAAATGGCAGAATTTGATTGATCAATATGAGTTATTTCAATAATACCAATGTTTAGAATTAATTAATCTTTCCACATATACTACATGTGTTGCCTATTTTGATGATATATTTTTTGGGCTAGTAATGAAGTGCTTTGGAATATTATATGAGGTGCTCTTTCATCTCCAGAATGGATTATTGTCCACAAGTTGGTGAAGAGAAGTATTTTAAATGCATAGATATTAGAAAAAAAACTAAATTTCTGTGAATAAGCAATTGGTGACGATTTATATATGTCTTGTACATATATTATATGTTACATGGTATTATGCATGATACACATTGGTGCAATAATTGCCTATCTTGGTGATTGTTATTTTGTGCTTATTCTAAAGTGCTTTAGAATATTAAATAAAGCACTCTTATATCTCAATAATATTTTAGTATCCACAAGTTGATAATTATATATTTTAGTATCCACAAGTTACATATATATATATATATATATATATATATATAACCAAATCAAACCAAAATTTTGATATTAAGCAATTGAAAGGGTTTTATGAGCATATTTTTGGTTTTGAAATTTTGCATTTCAATTAAGGTGGTGGGTCTTATAGTAAACACACTAACTAGTTGTTTATTCCACCAAAGAGTATCTCCATCAAATCATGTCAAAAGGTCATATTTTAGATTAAGGAATAGCATGGCTAGAAACCATCCTATACCAATGATCTGCCAATGATAAATTTGGCATGCAGTGTGTTGGGTCTTTGCCTTGGCTCACATATTTGAAGTTCTTAGTGGATTGTATATTTTAAAAGCTCGCAATTTGGATTGAATATTTTAAAAGATATTTGAAGTACTCAGTGGGCCACTACAATCCAACATCTAAAATTGTATATTTTAAAAGCTTAGTTGAATGTTGACTTGAATTTCTAGATACAATTGTAGAAAATGCCAAGTTGTATACAATAGAGAAATTAGGTGGTCAGTGGTACGTTGGATGCTTCATCAAAGTCCACTTTTAGTGTAGCCAATAGAATTGGTGACATTACAAACTCAGATCTTGGTAAATTTAATTATCCTTAATTTTTGGAACAATCTTTGATGTGCTTAATTGGCATGCTAAAGATGGATATGATCTTAGTGCTTACCATTTAATTTATTTGTTGACAATTTTTTTTTCTTCTTTCTCCCTATTATATTCCTTCAATCTTTTAATTTTTCTTTTATTCCTCTCATTCTCCTTCTACTTTATTAATTTGTCTTATTTTGTCATTTTTGTCCAACATTTAAGGGAAGACAAGTTCTGCATGAAACATGCTCACAAAGAATCTACACCAAAAGAAGGGGATCTCATCTTAGTTCATGGCAGGTGCCTTCTTTTCACTTAGATCTGGTCCCCATGTGCAAAAGCAACCTGTATTACGAGTATTTTTATTTACTTATTTATTTATTTAATAGGTGAGTTGAATGAGGGAATCCTGTGGTCCATACATGCTTTGTGTGTTTGATGGATTGATAGGTGGTTGGGTGGGTGGGATAGGTTGGTATTTGTGATACACATCAAAAATTGTTGCTAGAATTCTTTGGTCTTCAAGAGGTTGGCAGGATCATCATCATGCAGTGGTGGTGACACACAATTGCTCTTTCTCACATTCTGCTGTCTGATTCCATTCCATAACATAACCCGGTAAATCATTTGCATAACCATGAAACCTGTGATACCAAAACAAATAATCAAATAAGTAAATAAATCTACATGGAGGTAGAAGTGGTATAAATACAAATATAAATAATTGAAGGTAGGAAGATCGTAAACTTGTTAAACTCATCCAATTGAGAGGATAACTTGTATTGCAACAAGGCAGTTGTGGTATGGGTGCTGTTTTGACTTTAAAGAAAAACAATGCTCCAGAAGGTCCCCACAGAAGTTCACCACACCAATGATCCAAAACATGGATATCTAAAAGACCCTCGTGTACGACAGTCACGTCTCATGAGAACAAGGACACCCGCGGGGACTCCACTAAATGGGTCATCAGAAGGTGATGGAATTGGATTGGTTATTGGGTGGATGATGTGGCTCATTTCTCAATGTGGTTTCAGACGTTTGACTACACATTGCATGCACAGCCTTGCTGGAAAAAACTGAATAAATATTCACATAATGTTTTCCAGAGATAAAAATTTGTGAAGCTATTGACAAGCATTTCAATGGGGTCAAACATCAAGATCATGGTCATTTGGAAGGATCAGAGCACAGGCTGGCACCACCACTGCCACCACCATCAGCAAAGAATTATGCCCAATCACTTGAGGAACCAAATCAAATCCTTGATTTTGAGAGTTAGGCACCATTCAAGCTCAAGCAGCATGCAGGCATGGAATGCTCGGTTTATGGACTTCTATATCTATCTATCTATCTATATATATTCAATTATCTATAAATATATGCAAAAATCCATAATGGCAGAAGGCAAAAACTGCTTGGCTTTCAGAAATGATGTCACCCAGTGTGGGTTCCTCTATTCAATGCATGTAAAGCCTGCACTACTTATCCACAATCCTAGAAGCCACTGTTGGATTGGCCTCTAGTGTCCATTACTAGCCAAATCCCAAGCCCAGCCAGGAACCATGCCCAAAGATATGGAAATTCAGTAGAAATCAGCTTCCTCAAGCCTCTGTGTAGCATTCCCCTAGTATCCACATTTGAGTTTCCCCAAAGCCACAGGCTCTCTCCATGCCAATTGTTGCTTTGGGGGTGGCAGAATGGATTCTGTGCTTTGTGGAATGCTTGGTTGGACACGCAACCTCATGTGATGACGTGACAATTCCATTCCTTACTTTGCAGGGCTTGTCCATGGCTCTGATTTGGATTCTTTGTGGTGTGCCTCCACATGCCCAGTGGTCAAGCTCTAGGAACTTGCCTTGTGATGAGCATCTCTGGTGTTGATGGAATATATCACTATAAAGTAAAATATGTGGGTGTGCTTTGCATATTAGCAATTCATGGAATTGCTCTCAGAGGTGTACAGTTATTACAATTCTGTTTAAAAAAGAAAAAAAAGAACAGAAACACAAAGCTTCACACACCACAAGATTACATCACAGAAACTCACAGGCATCAAACTTGTGAAAACACTAACACGTTTGTAACTTCTTATCTCAACACCACCAAACCAGTACCAGTTTTATTTATTTATTTATTTATTTTTTTGTTAAGAATGATAATGAGAAAGCATGATGCAAATCGTGGCCAACACGTAACCTGCACAGACGTAGACATTCTCGAGGCGTCAATCAGGAGATAAAATTATGATCCTGAACCTCCACTATGTTTCGTATAGACAGAAGTGAGGAGCAGAACATTCTGTGGAATTCAGCAGAAGCATGAATTCACGCAGTGGAGGAGGACGCCGAACATTCCATCGAAAGCCATCAGCAGCTACTGCCTCTTATTCTTCCCAGGACCCTATTGCGGAAGTCACTGCAGCTACAATATTCGTCGTTGCGTGTTGTGTCAGCTCTGTGGGGGTCGTGGTCGATTCTAGCATGGACCTGGGCCCGCTAGCCACACATACATTACGAGTTAATGATAAAATAGCGGGCTGCTCCTTGTAAATGCTAAGGGTATGCGACCGGAGCAATCTGTCGCAGAGTCCCGTTCAGGTGGTCCAGCTCAATCAGATGCGAATCTTCAACTCCTCTGGAGCAGACCACCGGCTGAAGTGTGTTCCCCTTGACTGCTCACCATCACGGTGAATGTCAGCTGGCGTATGGTGAGCTTATAAAGAGAGCGAGTGTCTGTCGATTGAGGGACATGAAATGCTCTTAGCGACCAAGACCACTCCTGGGGTTAGCCGCGTAGATTGTGGGTTAGTTTGAAATCTTTTGAAGTCGATTGAAGATCTAGAGTTGTGACTGCTCGACTCGGCGCCGTGCCCTTCCATTCACCACTTCTCCTTTCCCACAGTAGCGTCTGGTCTCCTTTCGCATTCTCCTACTCCTTCCAGTGTCGCCTTTTCGCCCTTGGCGGTGTCGTTGAGGTATAAAGGCCTTGTCACGAATTGTATGTGTGGATTGTCTCTAAGAGGAATGGACGATGATGACGATGGTGCAGTGGTATCTGCTAGCGTTTTCGTCTTGTGCTAGTTGTGTTAGCACTGTAGTATTCGTTGCAGACAATGGATTCTTGAATTCTTGGTGCTGAATCCCTTGATCTGCTGCTATGTCATGCGGCAGGCGGAATTACCGATAGCTCCGTGTGTCTGTACGTAAGCGTTTGTGAGCGAAAGTTTGCTTCTGTTCATGTTGGATGAGCTTCTGGTTGTAGATGAGGGCTACAACCGTTCTGTTCTTCCAATCGGCTGATGAATCTGCTGTGGATCCCAAGGCAGGAGAGGGAAAAGTAGGAATCATGATTGGGACAATGGGGAAGCAAGGAGTCGAGCACGAAGGGCTGTGTACTTCGCTTCCGCTTGCAAAAGAGCGGAGGATTTCCAAAAGATTCAAACGGATCTGCGTATTCTGTGGCAGCAGCAGTGGCAAGAAAGATATCTTCAGCAGCGTCGCCCTCAGTCTCGGCCGTGAACTAGTGATTCATTTGCCCCTAACTAATCTTTTCCCCTCCATTCTGATCATTTGCAAAGTCCGAAAGTCCAAGCGGAAGAAATCAGCCGTTTGATCGCTTCTTAGCAGAAAAGTGTGAGGGTCTGCAGAATTGGTAGTTTGGCATGCGACCTTATTCGGCGATTTTGTTACTTAACAGGTGAGCAGAAAGGCGGATTTGGTGTATGGGGGAGGAAGCATTGGACTCATGGGTCAGGTGGCTCAAACCGTGAATGCGGGAGGAGGTCACGTTATAGGGTATATATCTCAACTCTTCACTCGAGTTTGCCTCTGCTATGCCAGTTCGAAGTGTACAATTTCTGTACATATTTGAAGTACATGTGGCGATCTTCTTCAATTAAGTAAGATCCCTATGTTGGGCCAGTTGAGTGTTGAATAGCTGATGCTTTCATGATAAGATATTGGCACAATCAAGGAGTTGAAGAACTCGTGGTTTCACCGATCAGAACTGTATGGATATGTTTAGTTCAGAATGTTGGGCAGAAATTTTCTCGGAGGTGTAAGAATGTGAGGGTTGTGGGTTGATGGCTGGCAGAGTGATTCCAACAGCGTTAATGGGCAAGGAGGTACGTTTTCTGCACTAGATCTTTGTCAACATCATCTCTCACGTGTACATTCCGTGAACGAAGTTGCTTTTAGGGAGGTACTGGCTTGTATAAATCTGACTGGAAAGCCTCAAACTGTTGACATTGTTCCAGCTCTGCGGCCAGACGGTTGGGGAGTTGAGAACGGTGCTGGACATGCATCAACGAAAGGCAGAAATGGCTCGACTATCGGATGCGTTCATAGCTCTTCCAGGTTCCATGTCGAACATTTTACTAAGTTGTAACCATGGCATAAAACACAGTGAAGTTTGCATTTCTTGGAAGTAACGTCTAGTGCATGATTCCATTGATGTTGTCCAAACCTCCCTCTCGAACAGTCAGATGATGCCCTGCAGGTGGCTATGGCACACTAGAGGAGCTGCTTGAGGTCATCACCTGGTCACAACTGGGGATTCACGAGAAGCCGGTGAGTTCCAAAACGCATGTTTCTCGTAAACCACTCCCTGTTTATCGACATCTCAGTATGTACGTGCGTATTTATTTTTTTAGATATATAAAAATACATACATGCATATGTCTACATGTATTCACCTCACAACGATCTCCCTTGATGTTTTCGCCAGGTGGGGCTGCTCAACGTGGATGGATACTACAACCCACTCTTGGCCTTGTTCGACAAAGCTCTGGAAGAAGGGTTCCTGAGATTATCAGCTCGGAGCATCGTGGTGTCAGCTCCCACCGCCAGTGAACTTCTCGACAAAATGGAGGTAAACAACCCATTCCTCTTCCACAAAGTTTTGAGTTGTCAAGCTTCACCAGCTCATGAAACGCACTTTTTGACACAATTCCACGCTTTCTTATCACTTGGTGATCGAACCTTCGGTTACAGGCTTACACTCCGATTCATGACTGGGCTATTCCGAAGCTGTGCTGGGAAGATGCCAAGTGCTTGGTGTACACTCCTGCGGTGCCATCCCCTTTGAAACAAGGCTAATATGATGAAAACACCTTCACAAACGCCGAAGATCAGTGCGGCTCCTTCTTCCCCATCTTTCTTCATCACTGGGATTGTTGCTACTCTACAAAGAGTGGAGATCATGCACTGTGCCGACACTGGAGGAGAAAAACCCGTAGCTCTCTCATGTGGGGCGGTAGAAAAGCTGTGCATATTACCACACCGACATGCTAGTTTCTTCTTTTTTTTGATGTTTGATAGATTTGTTGGATGGAGATGTACAGATCCTTGGATTCCACTCTGGACTTTCATAGAAAAAGGGGAAAAACATGAAAAAATCAAAGAAAAGGAGACAGGTAGTTGTAGCTCGGAATGAATTGTGTCACCTTCATGTGTGAAATTGCTAACAATCAATCAATTTTTTAATTTTGTATAATTTTTAAAATTGAAATGATTGTCAACTTGTTCATTCTTTGAGATGTGTGTGGTATAAGCTGTTTTCGAGACTTGAAATTGCAAATGACAAGTTTGTGGGTGAGAAATAGAGAATATTGAGGATGTTGTTTCAGTGTGGATATATATATATATATATATATATTTGCATCTGATTGAGGAATCTTTTTACTTCGTCTTATAAACAATTGAGTTTTATCTTTCATGTGCAAATATTTGATTTGACATATAATATATATTTTTTGCAATAATTTATTTTTAGTTTTATTCAGGAATTTCAAAATGTAAAAGTCATATATATATATATATATATATATATATATATTACTTATCAATAAAATAAAAAGAATATTTAAAGCTTTTATTCTTTTTTCTTCTTTTTATTTGAAAATACTTGATGTGCTATATCATTCTAAGATGAAAAAGTTCAGATTGAAAAAAAAGATAACTATTTTAAAAGGGGCTTGAAGTATTATCAATGAAACAAAGGTATTAAGATATTTGTAGGAAGAAGCTAATATGTGCAAGAACAATTAATTATATCTAAAATCAATTTCCTACAGACGCTTTGACTTATGACACTTGTAGAAGAATTTACAAGAAATAATTCCAAATCTTCCACATTTAAGAATTTTGGTTGTGTAGCATATTGACATATATCATTAATAAACAGAAACAAATTAGACTCAAAGGTTTATGTACTTTTTTATAAGATTTATATCTATATGTATATATATATATATATATATAACAATTTTAAGAACTACATTTTGATGAAAATCGCATTTTGATGAAAACCACATTATGATAAGAGATTCTTTGGCCAAAAATATTTTTATTTTTATCCTTTTTACAACCTATAATTTTTCTTTTTATACATATAATATACAACAGTAATACTTGATTTTATTAATCTTAATGTATCTTTTATCTTAAAAAACTTTTATTTTTTCTTTTGCTGACAAAATATAAGATAATATTGTAAATTCAATTAGGTTCCTATGATAGATGATTATAGATACCAAAACGTGTTTAACAAAGATTTTTCATGTTATTTTCTACCTTTATGGCTCAGTGAGTTTTTATGACTAAACAACTGGAATGTGATTTTCAATACTTATAACTTTATTAACTTTTTTATTAGGCTTTTGCAAATATGGAAAATTTTCTTTGAAAAAAAATAGATGCTAAACTTAAATAGAGGTTTTTTAAATCTAAGCATATTAAACATATTATTATCAAGCTTAAGTATTTAATAGGGATTTTGTATTAAATAGGATTACACATTATAGAAAATTGTTGTATATATTTTAATCGGTTGTAGTACATATTTATATTACTATTTATATAAATAAAATTATTTGATTTATTTTTCAAAAATAGAATATATATGATGTATTTATTGTGTTAATTGCATCATGTTTTATAATTTAGGACATTATAGTTATTATAAACAAATTGTACAATGAAAATACTTGCTTCTAACAAATATGTTTGGAATTTTTTTTAAAAGAATTTAGTAGAAAATGACAAGGTTGCAACACATAACATTAAAAATAAGGCTCCACACACCATATTATTGAAAATTGAGGTTTTTCTTAACAAAATGGGGCTTTAGTCAGTTTCAAAAAGAAAGAGTCCATTCAACTAAAGATAAAAACAATCAATGGTAGTTTCTTCTTTTGTTGGAAAATTTATACTACACTCAAATTTGATCAACAATGTTCTTTCTATAATTGAATAAAAAATTTGTCATCCTTTTCAATAGTATGAGATAACAATGTGTATAGTTTTTTTTTTAAGTTAAAAATACTTTACAATCTTAAAAAATTCAATAGAAAGGAGGTCTTACAAAATAGTATGTATGGCTTCTTCATAAATTTATTAGATTAAATTTAGAAGAATATTGAGCAAGTGATAAAGAATGCAACCAGTTTAAGTCAAAGATTTTGTTCATATTATAGTAACAAGGGGATCTTTAGCTCCAACAAGCCTCCATAAGTTAGTCAAAACTACTTCCTTCATCTTGTCATTATTGCATGAGAGCAATAGAAGTTGATTTAATATCAAGCACATCAATAATTTTAAAAAAGAATAAATATTGATACTTTTAGAATGATAATAGATGATTATAAGAGAGAAGTTGCAAAGGCTTTGATTTGATTGCCTCCAACAAAAGTTATGAAGACCACTTAATCACATGAGGCATAATTTGAAAATAATAAAAATAGTATATTTACATAAACAATGATAAATTTTTTGGATAATATATTCAACATTATTTTATAAAAAACTATAGATATGTAATAGATACAAAAGTTTTTATTAGAGATTAATCAAGTTTAGATTTTTTTTAAGTTTTATTTGTTGTTTTTTTTTTTCTTACAAAAAATTAGTTTATCAAAATTATTTAGTGCATTATTAATATATATATATATATTAAAGGTTATTATGACCATTGACAAGATTTAATATACTACTTATCTCACATTAATCACAAAAAAAAAGTTATTATGTAATTTGTATAGGAATGTCTATTTTATATGTATCTAAAAGTAAATGATAAGTTGGCAATACGATGGATAGTAAATAAACCATTGAAATGTGTACAACTAAATAAATTATTATTGATACCAATCAATGGAGAATAAAAATACTAGCAATGATATTGGTAATACCTTAAAATCTAAGTATATAGTATCTAATCTTTTTTGACACCAATTTCATGCATGTTCTGCAATAGAGTCTACATATACAATAAAAAAATTAATTTAAAAATTAATTTAAAATAAAATATCTATATTACTACCTTATTTTTTCATCTAAATATAAATAATATTTTATTATTATTTCTATATACAAAAAATAATGGATGTCATATAATAAATTAATAATAAAATAAATAATTAAATACTTCAATATTTATTTAATTATTTTAAAAAATCATATTTAAAATAAAATAATATATTTTATTTACAAATAGTTTTATAATTTTCCATTCTTTTAAATTCATCCGCCTAATGCTACAACTTCTCAATTTGTAAACTACTTTTTATTGCCACTTTTTAATCGTAAATTGTAATTAATTACAATTTAAGTTCCTTCTTAACTAGGTGATTGATTGGCTTTTTTTTATCTTAGGCTTCAATCTTCATATATTTTTTTATTGCTTTGGTAATAAAGTGCTTTTAAAATACAACATTGGTATATAATAACATGTCTATATTATTCAATTATCCAAAATTAAGTCCATATTTTAGACTTGTGATATGAAGATACAATTGACATTGACTTCTACATGTATTGAATCTAGTTTTGATCTATGATAAGATCATCTTGGTCAGATGCAATTCCAAGGCTATTGATAACATTGTGCATATAGTTACTTTCACAACTGACATCATGGAATAATTTTGTGGACGTAACAAGTGCTTGAACTTCTAATATGGCAACAACCACCTTCAATACCAACATATTTTTTTGCCAATCTAGAGGATGTTTGTGTCACCATTTTATTTCTTGTATAGATGATAAAAATCAATGAGTCTCATTTTTATTTACAATATGACTTACTTGGCCACAAAAATTGTTGCTTGTCTTACCCCATAATTGTTGAAGGCTTTGTGCCTTTTTTCTTGCATGCATGTCCATAAGTTGTAATGTTGCTTTCTTTATGAAAGTAGTGCCATTGCTAAAGTAATTGATGAGGATTGTTTTATTATGCCTATTTTCTTAATAAATTTATAATTTCTTAAAACCCACTTTGATGAATGAGTGGTCTATTGCGAGTATGCTGGATTAAATAGATTGCACTGTAAGTACAAGTATTTAAAAATAATATCCTTATGATGGAGTTCACTTGTTGGTTGAGATTATAATAAGATTATGTAGGTAGTTTGGATCATTAGTAGCTTGGCTTGCATGTATTTATTGATATGGATTTACACCTTAACTTAAGTTGCATAGTTACATGCTTTGTTTAGTTATTAGATACTTATTAAACTCAATTATGTATGTTGCTTTCTTTAGTGCAAATAGAATCATTATCAAGATAATTGATAAAGATTTCTTTGCCTCTTTTATTTTTTCCAGAAATCTTAAGGACTAATCAAATTCCAAATCATAACCAAATCCTAAATAAATCTTAAATAATTTTTTAAAAATCCTAAATAAATCTTAAATAATTTTTAAAAAATCCTAAATAAATCTTAATAAAGTACTATAGCTATTTTGAAACCTTAATAAATATTAATTGAATTATTGATCTTAACTAAAATTCCATCCAAACTTTAAAATACAAACAATTTATAATTACACAAAATTTGAAAAGAAGCAAAAACACCAATTGAAAGAAAAGCTTCCAAAAGTTCTTAGATATTAGCTACCTTACTTTTCCAACTTGAATGTTGATCTTCCAACAAATATTTCTCTTTGCTAGACCATTCAATTATTCCAAAACCTCAATATAGCTTCAAATCACATAAAAACAACTTTCAAAAATCCTCTTATAAGTCTACTTTCAAACCTTGCTCACTAATCAACCAAAGAATCTTAGATTTGCCATAGGTTCATGGTTTTGTGCTTTGAGGTCTGATTTCAATCTTGTTTCACAACCAATCCTCTTTAGGTATTAATTCTTAGTATTTTGAGGGAATTTTTTTCAAACTTATTTTTAACTTCTTCTTAAAGATACGTACATTAAATATATATCTTATTTATTTTGATTTGAGTCATTTATATTTCCATACAATGACTATAAGTCTCTTCTATAGGAAGGAAATATTAGCACTTATTAATTTTTAGTATCTCTTTGTCTATTATTTATATTTCTAAAATATTTTTCTAAAATATTTTTATTTAAGCTCCTCTATAATAAAATATTTCTTCTCTTCTTTCACCTAATGGTTGTGTTATTATATGACAATAGAAAGTTTTAGAAGCTTGGCATGTCTGAAAAAGCTATACATGCAAGAATATGAAGCT